ATTGGTTCTTCACCGACATGCAGCATCCCATCGGATGCAGGATACTGGCCACATCCAGCCTCCTCATGGTGGAGATGGGCAGGCGCGCCATTAAATTGCAGGGGCAGTGGAAAAAGGGCCTCCTCTGCCCGACACATGGGCTGGGTCCATCTGTGGTCAGCTCCAGGTATGCACTGGTCTGGAGGAGTGAGTGCTTGCCCTCGCGGCAGAGCCTCACCAAAGGCAGAGTTGGATCTCTCACGATGCCGCCATCGCTGGGATCTGCGGTACCTCCCACATCATTCACCCTGAACCTGTACATGGGCATCCACTACAGCCAGGAGCACAAGGGAATGGTGCCCCTTGTAATTAAAAAACATGGACCCAGAGTTGGGGGGTGCCTTCACAGCCACATGCTTCCCATCAATGGCCCCACAGCACAGAGGGAAGTTCCATCGGACCTCAAAGTCCTGCGCTATGGACCTCCACTCCTCTGCTCCAGGCACAGCCATGAACTCCTCCACGAGGCAGTCCCAGATGGCTGCCACCACATCTGGGATGAGCATGGAGACGGTGGATATGCCCACTCTGAAGCTCCCCGCAATGGTCCTGTAGGAGTCCCCAGTGGCAAGAAACCTGCAATTACAAAATGATATGAACATATTTATCACAATTACATTCATAAAAATCACGTGACAAAACTTGTGTAGCATAAAATACGTTAAACTAGTAGACAGTAAACATCATAGACAGTAATCATAGACACCATATTGTTGCATAATACTGTTTTCTGAGCTATTACATTGTGGATTGTGATTGAAAAATGACATAACTTATGTTAGTATTTAGGAATTCCGAATGGGGTAAAAAACACCTAACCGCAGACAGATGGGACAGGCGCTCTTCAGCTGAAGAGAGCGCCTTTAGTTGGTGTCCTGGTAGGTGATCCTTGCGCCAATGCGGGTCAGGTAGCGTCGTTCAAACTGGGCCGGGAGAGACGAAAGTACCCGCTGAAAGCGACCCTCATTCCGAGCGCAGCTCCCGGAGCAAACTGGTGAAAATCACCAAACATCCAACCGTCTACGGACTATCTGGTGAATCCAGAACGTCGTCGGATTCGCCCTTTGACGACGCTGTCTGGCTTTATGTATTAGAATAGAGCCAAGCAAACTCCTTCGCTGTCATCCATTTTGGGAAAGCTACAGCGCAAAAAGAGACAAGCCAACGCCCCTAAACGCTCCCTCAACGCTCTGGTTGACAGCGGCTGCCCTCTAGTGTCCTGCGAGCTCCGCGCGGCCAAAGTTTCTCTGTGACAGGCGGCTGCCTCAATTTGTCACAAGCGCATGTGGACAATAAATATGCCGTTTAAAACGGCATGTGTGGCAATAAATGGCGTTTAAAACGGCATGTGGACAATAAATGGCATTTAAAACGGAATGTGGACAATAAATGGCGTTTAAAGCTGCACTAACTGACTTTGGGATTTTGAAGCCGCGGACTCGCTGGCCTCTCTCTTTCTGCTCCCCTCCCCACACCCACGAAGCTATCGCCCCCCACACACACTCACTGTTGGGACGGAGCTAGTGTCTCCCAATATGGATAATACATGGACATGGATTTGCACGTGGATGGCGTGACCATAAAACGATAGAACCGGGAAGCGCGGAGGAATGGGACTTTCTTTTGGATGGCTGTCTCGTTGTGTAAGCAGTAACCGGTGATGAAGACACGAAGCTTCAGGTTAGCTCCTCGGCTTGTTGTGCTAACTCAGCCGTCTGTGCTAACGGACCTGTAGATTTCTCACGAAAGTGGGGGCCAGTGGTCCGTTGTGATTGGTCACAATCTGCGACCCGAAACACATTCTCTTCCTTGTTTCATCAAAACTCGATCTAAAATATAATGTCACGCCAGCACAAATCTGCGCTAATTATTCTTCAAAAGGACGTATATCCCAATGCACTACATGGACATGGATAGCATTTTCGTAATGAATACAAAAATAAAGTCAGTTAGTGCAGCTTTAATACGGCATGTGGGCAATAAATGGCGTTTAAAACGGCATGTGGGGAATAAATAGCGTGTAAAACAAATACAGTTGAAAGCAGCCTGTACAAAAGACAACAAGCAGCAGTACTAGAGATAGTGGTCCAGTGGTTCAGATGGAAAAGCACAGGTCTATGGTGTTGATGGTTGCTAGTTCAAATCCCCAGTGACTACCGATTACATTTGCTGATGTTGGGTCCTTGGGCATAACACTTCATGGAGAATGTCAGAAGTGCCATAAGTTGTTTGAAAAATGTAGTTTGAGCTATAATAAATTAAATTTAAAATTTGTTGAAAGACTTAATTTCATGTATTATACGTGGTTTAGATTCTGAAGAACTGTATATTCCTGTGGCGCACTTGGTTTATAACTGTCTCTCATGTGAAAGATACCAGGTTCAATTCCAGGTCTGGTCTTTATTTTTTTGTTGTCAGATTAAATTATATATTTCATACATATGGTTATGTGTTGTTCCAATAGTAATCTTGCAATAGGATTAATATTGCATCATCGTTAGGGTAAAACTAAATGATGTGTAAAACACTCAAGACACAATTTTAATTAAAACTACCTGGTGAGTGGTATAGTTGGTGTGTGTCTGCCAATCATGCAAGAGTTCGCAGATTCAAATCCAGCCAAGATCAAAAACTTTTCTATGACGGTTATTTATTTATACATATATATATCTATAAATATCTATATATATCTTTATATATATATACAGTTTTTATATAACTGCCATTAAAAAAAACAAACAGTACTTTTATTCGATCTGCCAATCTCACGCACTATAGACGAATGTTTAATGACTGCGCCACTTATTTTGTGTTTTGGCAAAGAAAAAACCGAAAGATTCTGTTGTTGTTTTAGGACATTTCATCAAGAATGGAGCCAACCAAAGATGGTGAAGAGTGATGGATTGAAAAACACAAGCAGAAAGTTGTGTAATTGGAACATGAGGTTTCATCTCTATATTGTTAAAATCTTCATTTCTGTTCTTGGACCGTTTAAGTCTTATACTTTGCATCCTTTAAAAAAAAAATATATGTATTAATGTTCTTTCTTATTGTTCCATGTTTCTGATGTGGTTTTATTAAAGAAGAGAGAGAAATAAAACGATGTTTTCTTTTGTTTTACATATTAAATTTGTATTTACGCGGTCTGACCTTCGACCGCGTGTCTCGGACACTCGGGTGAAGAGAGGGGCGGAGCTGTCAACCGATCATCACCTGGTCGTGAGTTGGATCCGCTGGCAGGGCAGGAGGCCGGTCAGACCTGGCAGGCCCAAGCGTGTAGTGAGGGTTTGCTGGGAACGTCTCGCTGAGCCCCCTGTCAGACGGACTTTCAACTCACACCTCCGGGAGAGCTTCTCCCAGGTCCCGGCAGAGGAGGGGGACATCGAGTCCGAGTGGACCATGTTCTCTTCCTCTATCGCCAATGCGGCGGCTCGTAGCTGTGGTCGCAAGGTCTCTGGTGCTGGTCCCGGCGGCAATCCCCGAACCCGGTGGTGGACACCGGCAGTAAGGGATGCCGTCAGGCTGAAGAAGGAGTCCTATCGAGCAATGATGGTTCGTGGGACTCCTGAGGCAGCTGTCCAGTACCGGCAGGCCAAACGTGCCGCGGCCCGGGCTGTTGCAGAGGCAAAAACCCGGGACTGGGAGGAGTTCGGAGAGTCCATGGAGCATGACTATCGGTCGGCCTCGAAGAGGTTCTGGCAAACCGTCCGGCGCCTCAGGAGGGGGAAGCAGTTCTTTGCCAACACCGTGTATGGTGCGGGTGGAGGGCTGCTGACCTCGACTGGGGATATTGTCGGCCGGTGGAAGGAATACTTCGAGGTTCTCCTCAATCCCCCCGTCACGTCCCCCGTCCAGGAGGCAGAGGCTGAGGATGTTGGGGCGGATACTTCCATCTCCCTGGCCGAGGTCACCAAGGTGGTTGGCAGCCTCCATGGTGGCAAGGCGCCGGGAGTGGATGAGATCCGTCCTGACTATCTAAAGTCTCTGGATGTTGTAGGACTGTCTTGGCTGACACGTCTCTGCAACATCGCGTGGCGATCGGGGGCGGTGCCAATGGAGTGGCAGACCGGGGTGGTGGTCCCTCTCTACAAGAAGGGGGACCGGAGGGTGTGTTCCAATTATCGTGGGATCACACTCCTCAGCCTCCCCGGTAAGGTCTACTCCAAGGTACTGGAGAGGAGGCTTCGTCCGATGGTCGAATCTCGGATTCAGGAGGAGCAGTGTGGTTTTCGTCCCGGTCGCGGAACACTGGACCAGCTCTATACTCTCCATCGGATACTCGAGGGTTCATGGGAGTTCGCCCAACCTGTCCACATGTGCTTTGTGGATTTGGAGAAGGCGTTCGACCGCGTTCCCCGGGGTGTCCTTTGGGGGGTCCTCCGGGAGTACGGGGTCCGGGGTCCTCTGCTGAGGGCTGTTCGGTCCCTGTATGACCGGAGCCAGAGCTGTGTTCGCATTGCTGGCAGTAAGTCAGACCTGTTCCCGGTGCATGTTGGCCTCCGCCAAGGCTGCCCTTTGTCACCGGTTCTGTTCACTGTATTTATGGACAGAATCTCTAGGCGCAGCCAGGGGCCGGAGGGGGTCCGGTTCGGGAACCACAGGATTTCATCTATACTTTTTGCGGATGATGTCGTCCTGCTGGCTCCAACGAACCAGGACCTGCAACATGCACTGGGACGGTTTGCAGCCGAGTGTGAAGCGGCTGGGATGAGAATCAGCACCTCCAAATCCGAGGCCATGGTGCTCGACCGGAAAAAAGGTGCCTTGCCCTCTCCAGGTGGGTGGAGAGGTCCTTCCTCAAGTGGAGGAGTTCAAGTATCTCGGGGTCTTGTTCACGAGTGAGGGGAGGATGGAGCGTGAGATTGACAGGCGTCCCCCCCCCCCCACCATGCACCCCACCCAAGAAGACCCCCGTCCCCCCCCCCCCCCCACCGTCTACCCCGCGATACGCTGGTTACTTACTACCCAGCGGTTACGACCCTCTCGACCCACACCATCCCGCACCGATTCCCCTGCCAGAGTCGGATCCCACCCCCCCTGGAGCCGCCTCCACTTCCTCTAGAGACTAGCGCCGTTCCCCGAGGAGCGCGGTCGTCAAACCGGCGAGCCGACACCCCCGCTAGGAACCAGCTAGAGCTCCCAGTAGCTAGCCGATTCGACTGCATTCTCCCACCCGTCCCCCCCCCCCCCCCCCCCCGAGTGGAACATGGGGAGCAGGCAAGCCCACCTGGCACCCCTCACGGCCCCGGATTCCCATCGAGTCAGGACTCGACCTCCCTCGGCGCCTTACCCCATGTAAGCCGCCCGTACCCACGTGTTCACCACACCCCCCCCGGCGGTGGCCCACGTCCCCTCCCGGCGCACCACGACCGGACCGGCCCTGCATCCACGGGGTACCCCAGTACCCTAGGTCCTAGGCTCCCCCCTGGACCTCGGAGACTATGTCTCCATCAGCTGGCGGGAGATCACGCTACCACCACCCCATCTGGGGTCCCACGTGGCCTCCCGAGCGCGATATTGTGAGTCTGGCGAAACCCCCCGGTGAGCTGCATTTGACTGCCCATTGCCCCCCCCTTAACCCCCCCCGCCGACCCCCCACCTTCGGCAGTCCCCCTCGCCCGCGCCAACGGACACTTTCCCCGCTCTTATCACTCACTTCTCCTTTTAAGCCACGGCCACTCAGACCGAAAACCCAGACAAGAGGGAAACATGGCCTATGGCCCCATTGGATGATGACATACGCGCCCACATGCCATTGGGTTCATCTATTTTTGGCTTCTGTTATGTATGACATTACAGGTTAATCAATATCTTGGACAATATCACTGGTTCTTTGCCTATCCACTCGGTTTATTTCCAGACCAACTCAACCCATCCGCCCTTGCTGCATCCCCGGCCTGTGTTATAATACATCCCCAGATGCGCCATATGGATTGGTAGCAGGGCTGGTGGGAATGGCGTTACCAGATATCCACGTGTTTCCGGTACTAGTAACCAGACCAGACCACCAGCGATTATTTGCCGCGTCCTGCCCCCTACCAACTCCCTCGTTCATGTGTGGACAGCGTCGTAGATATATCCCTATGTCATCGGGTGGATCCACAAATATCTGGCGCGTCCTTACGGACAATTAGGAACTGTCTTCAGTGTTTCAAAACTACAGCAAACCCCCCCCCCCCCCCTCCTATCACCCTACCCCCACGTCCGTTAGGACACTCACAATAAGGAGCCCCCCCCCAAAACCTCCCCCCTTATGCAAATGTCTCTGGGTTGTAACCTCCGGCCCGGATTTGAAACTCCACAACTAGCTACCCATCAAAGCCGTCAGTCCCCCTCGTGCCTTCTTTCCCCAATAACTCCCCTGAGGCCTCCCCACTGGTAAACAATGAGCTAAATAGTTGCGCCCCCCCATGAATTGGGTCCCTGCTATGTGCCGGCTTTCGGCGGCCCCGATGCAGACGTATTCCCCCCCCCAGGTTGGGAGGTAGACCAATATGCGGCCCCACAACCGCGCAGACGGCCCCGGCGCCGACCGCCGGGGAAGAGGTTTAAGACCACCACTCAGGGCAGGGACTAGGCCCCCCAAACGTAAAGCACACGAGCCCGGTGCACTCAATTGGAAATTCGCCGTTTAATATTCAAAATTCATGCAATGTTTCAGATGGAAGTTTGTACAAAATTTCACCTTTTGCAATGTTTAAATGAATAATTAAAAAAATATTGTATACATATTTTCCTAATTTATTCAACATAAAAAACCTTACAACAACATTAGCTATAGTGAAAATAAACTCTGGAAAAAAGTTAAAATGGACTCCCACAGCCCCTCCCACCACCACCAACCATCCACACACACACCAGACTCATTCTAATGTGGGGGAAGTGTCTTGGCCTAAGGACACAACCACAGTTTGGCACTTTACAGCCGCAGCCGCCCCACTGTGTCACCTGCTGTTCCCAGAGGTCTCCCATCACAGTACTGACCAGACCCTTCCTTCTTGAGGACTTGAACACGTTGTAAAATGCTGCTGTCAATTTAGAACTTTACTAAAATACATTTATTGAGGTTGAAGACAGAACAAAGTCTGAGTTCGGCTTCTCATGTGTCTTCTATCAAACTGATATACTGCATCTCTGTTGTGCTGAACGCATTAGCATCCTGCGCATTAGCATCCTACGTCCTTGAGGAAAACGTGTAAATGAAATATCTCCAAGTCGTAAATAAAGCCTCAGTGTCGCGCGGCGGTCATTGCAGCGTCGGAAAATACAGCTATAGCTCATGATATGCTAACATTTTCACCGGGAGCTGACGGCGGCTGCTTTACACGGATCTCAATGTCTTCACTGTGACGGATAGCGACTCTCTTTCCGCTATTCCGACATTCCCTTTCAACCCGAGCCTCGCCAAAAGAACCAGCCTCGCTCTCGGAGGTGTAAAAATAGTGTCAAATCGTAACAAAGGCAATTCCACCGCAGCCGAGGGTAGAAAGGTAGCGGGGGGTTCACAGCGTTCGCCGGAGAATGGGAACGCCGGTCTCCGCACTTCGCATATAAATATTCCATTAACTCCACTCTATATAACGCAATGGCTGCCCGCTTATGCATTCAGCCGCCCGGATTTTGAAATGAAATTATTGTGGGAGAGAGGGGGGAGAGGGGGAGAGGGGGAGGCGGCCGGGATGGGGGAATTGCAGAAGCAGGAGTGTTGAGGAAATAGCCGTTTCCTTTTTCTTCCAATTTTCTCGTCTCGCCGCGATTTTAGCCCCCGTGCCTTATCACGGGTGACACTAATCCAATTGAAGCAGTGCTTGTGACAGCGCTAACGTGGTTTTGTGCACGGATTCTTCCACCCTCAGCAGAGAGAGGTGTCGGGGAACACAAAGGTCACGTAATCGGGCGCTGACAAGGACAAATGGATGGAGCGAATGTGGAAGTTATGACTAAGCAAAGGATTTACAGAAGTTAGAGGATGCTGTGCTAGCTACACCTGGCCTGTTAGAAGACGCCATGCTAGCAACATCTGGCCTGTTAGAGGACGCTGTGCTAGCTACATCTGGCCTGTTAGAATACGCCATGCTAGCTACACCCGGCCTGTTAGAGGACGGATACCATTATTGTGGTAATTGCTACTTTTTGTTCTCAATAAAACATGAACATTATACGAATTTTATTTCATACTAAGGTCTGGATTTGCTCCATTGACTCTGTTTACAGGTGGGAGGGGTTAACTCCTTTTGCAGATTGAAACGATTGGATCTGAGTTTACCGTAACGTATGTAATGATTCTGAGTGAGTCGTTAGCATTTAGCATTTAGCCTAGCTTTAGCCATCTACTTTGCCACTAACGGAGTTCGTGGGAGTAGGTTCACAATTTGCTAAACATTCCTCTTGCTCCGGCTTCAGTTTTTTGATGGAACCAGACCAGAACACTTTACGGACCGGAGAGTACAGGTGGATAAGGCCAGGATACAGCAGTCCGTGTCCACATACATTTTATCTGTGGGCTTTTTATGGGAAGTAGCAAGTCTTTACAAGTGAACAGGTGCAAGTACAAGTGAAAGTCAGAGTTATTGATATTAAAGTCTTTTACTATTTTGTCAAGTCGGGTCTAAAGTCATCAAATTTATGTCTCAAGTCTGAGTCCACGCCTCTGCATTGTCCTGAGACCGGATTTCATCATTCACATCATTTACATTCAGAAACACACATTAAAGGCTTGTGTCATGTCAGAAAAGTCAATCACTCATTTTCTCCCCAAAACTGTGATTTTTAATTGCAATTATGCGGTCAACTGCTCCATTGTTTTTAGTATCCGTTGTGTGACAGTAGGTGGCTCAGGGTTAAAACCCACAGATTGGGATCATTCTCTTTGCGGTCATTAAAGAGTAAAATGTCCATTTTCTTAACGTCTCTTTACAGGTAAATAACAGCTCTAACTAAAAAGTGTAGATAGTTTTTTACTCCCACATTTCTCAATCCCAGGTTAAACACAGTTCTGTTCAGGAATATTTTACAAATGACATGAGTTATTTCAGCACTGATCTTTGAGTCTATATGTCTTCACTTGTCTCCTTGTTTTGTGAAGAACTTCGACTTAGTCTCATCCATCAAAACTATCTCAAACACTTTTGTTCTTCTACAAGTCTGTCATGGATTTAAGAGAAAGACAAGCCATTGGAAAGCTTTCTCCCTTGTGCTAAAGTTAGAGATTTTATACTAGCTTCTTTATTATGCTAAAGTTAGAGATTTATACTAGCTTCTTTATTATGCTAAAGTTAGAGATTTTATACTAGCTTCTTTATTATGCTAAAGCTAGAGATTTCTACTAGCTTCTTTATTATGCTAAAGCTAGAGATTTCTACTAGCTTCTTTATTATGCTAAAGCTAGAGATTGTGTTTAATTTTAGTTTAGAGTTATTGTTAATTTACCTTGTGCTGTGTCCTCCTCATTCTTACCGTGGGACCAATTAAGGATCTCTTCGTCTTAAAGGCACAAACAAATTTGGGAAAACCCGTAAATCAAGCCGATACCCCGGTGCTGTCCTGCAGGAAGCAGCTGCTGAAGCTGTTTGTCCTGATGATGTCGATGGAATTGACACTTCTACTAAAATACCTGAAAGAGCGTGTTGTGTGTTCGGTCGTTTCAATAACATTGTGAAAATACAAGCCTGGAACAGAACCGTGTGTAAACTTCCCAAACCTTTAACACACACTGACTGCCCCATTTTTGGGGCCGTAAGGACTATCGAGCTCATGGTAGAGCTGCGGAACAAGATGTGCGTCGAAAGTGGATAGAATGCATCAATCGAGATGGTTTTAAGAAAGCAGTGGTAAGTTTAGCTTTGATTATTACAGCAGAGAAAACCACCGGTTGCTGTTTGTAAGTGACATGTAAAATGTAAAAAGTTACTGCTACATTTGTTATTTTATCGGTCCTCTCTATGTTCAATCATTCTGCTGATTTGTGCTCGTCAAATAAGACCAAGGAGTTTTGTTCAAATAGTGGAGAGTGCGGTTCTTTCCTCAATTTTGGGAAATCTTCTTTTATACCTTTAGTCTGAGATGCCAAGACGTAAATTTCTTAGTCCATAGATATATATTTGGCTCTGGACACTGCAATAACAAGCAAAAGTCATACCAAAACATCCATTACATGTGTTTGAGTGTTGTAAGAGACGTAGGCCTCATCTCAATGACCAAAACTAATTTTTGAGCACATTCTGACTTTTTGCAATAATATTCTCCAATGGGACGAAGCCATTTAGTCTTTTTTCATATCTGTTGCTTTAGTTTCTCATTCCAAAGGAGACATTTCTTGCATCTTTTTAAAACAAAATCATCTTTCTTTATCCCTTTGGCAGTTTTTAGCAGATACTACAAACCAGCTCTGGCCGTCCTCCATCTTTGTACTTGCGTTTTTTGCGACTAAACTTTTCTGCGGTCACAAACACAAGGAGTTGAGGGACTTTGTGACAGAATCTTTTGGCAGGACGTGTTTGCGAACAGCAGAGCCGGCAGCTGCTGCTCGGACAGACTTCACACTTCCTCCGTGTTATTTACACCAGACAGACGTTTCATTATTACAGCAGCGGAGAAAGTGGACTGGAACAGGCTAATGAAGAGAAAGTGACACTGTTAGCTATGCTGCTATTTATGGACTCTGCTTAATGACTGATATCTGGGACTTTCAGCATAAGAGACCCGGTGTTTCCAGTCCAGAATATGTCTTTTACATTAAATATATTTAATCTATCCATCCATCCATCCATTTTCTACCCTTTAATCCATTTCTGGGTCAGGGGGGTGACAGTCAGAGATGCCACCCAAGTCTCATAGCACCAGCCCCTCACTGACCCTCTGCAGGTGGTGAGTCCACAGGAGGACGGCTGCTCTCTGAGTGTGGGCATAGCCTTGATCTTTCTTGATCTTGATATTTAATCTATGTGGTATATTTTTATTTTTACACTATCTACTGTATTATGTTAGAAAAATCCAGAAACCTGATGACTAGTCTCCAGCCTGAAACCCTGGACTCCCTGGACTTGTGGACTAGTCTCCAGCCTGAAACCCTGGACTCCCTGGACCTAAGGACTAGGGACATTGGTCATCTGCCCCTTATGGCAGAGAGATTTACAAATGTATTTCTTACTCCCTCACTGTAATTATTATTTGTGAATGTATTTCAATAATAACAAATCAAACAGATGACAAAGTACTGCTATGCATATGCTTTATTTAATTATATCAGCCTAGAATTTAGGAGCTATGTCCCAAAACTAGTAGAGGGCCGACACTGAAAACACATCTTCAAGAAAGCCACAAGGACCTCCTCAAAAATGGTTCAAAGTGTTGTTAAAGGACTTGGAACATCTTCAAGAAAGCAACGTATGTCTCCTCAAAAATAATTCAAAGTTCTGTAAAAACACTGGGAACATATCTTCAAGAAAGCAACGTGTGTCTCCTCAAAAATGGTCTCTGGTGCTGGTCCTCTGGGGTGGGCCTCTGGGGTGGGCCTCTGGCTTGGGCCTCTGGGTTGGGCCTCTGGGGTGGGCCTCCTTAGAAGGTGAAGGCTCTCCTCATCCTGGAGAAGAGCCGTGACAGCGCAGACTTGGGACGCTTCTGGAAAGATCTCAGCTCAGCGTTTATATGTTTCGCTGCAGCTGCTTCAAATGCAGCTGTGTCGTCCTCCACAGCCGCCCTCAGGACTGCGGCTGCCGATCCATAATCCACCATGAGATGTTTGGCGGCTGCTTTACCAATTTTCTCTGAGTTCTTCATCTTCATCTGAGAGTTTTCATCTAACTCCAGCTGCTGCTTGATTCCGTGATGCAGACGGACTCCCATCAGACTGGCTTTACGGTGGTCTTTGGATCCAGCCAGTTTGAACAGTTTTTCGGTGAGTGCGTTGGTGATGAAGTAGGACTCTCTTATGAAAGTTGGAGAAATCCTACTTGGTTCAGTAGACGTGTCCGATGACTCAACGACATCCTCGGTGATAATATCAGGTTGTGACGTAGCCCTAACCGTGTCCTTGACCACTGTCTCTTGAGCCCTCAGAGTCAAGTCTTCTAAAGGACTTGTCGGACCATTTTCATCTGTGGTTCCAACAGTTTCTTCAAAGTCTGTGGTGTGGTCATCTTCAGACTGATCAAGGACCTTGTGAACTGTTACCTCCTTGTTTTCTGTCAGTGCGACTTCTGGTGACTGTTCCTGGTCCCTCAGAAGTGCAACACCATCAGTGGAAGTGTCTTCGGAGGTTTCTAGATACACAAACTGTTCGGGAGGTGTCTGAACCTCCTCCTCGATGTTTTCTAAGAAAACCTCTGCTGCTTCAACCTGAGCAGCAGCAGAAGACAAAACAGATGTGTCGTCTGTTGGAGACTGGATCTCTTCTGTCTGAAAGAAGTCTTCAGCAACAGAACATCCCTGGTCCTGTTGTGACTCAGCAACCTCCTCCTGAACGTCAGTCTCCGTCTCTTGAGTTGTGCTGGCGTCGTGGGGAACATCACTAACCGTTACCTCCTCACTTACAGTCTTAGTGAGTACTGGTGACTGTTCCTGTTCCCTCAGAAGTTCTGCCTGATCAACACCATCAGTAGAAGTGTCTTCAGGGGATTCCACATACACAAACTCCTCAAGAGGTGTCTGAACCTCCTCCTCAATGGCATCCAGAAAAACCTCTGCTACTTCGTCTTGGGCAGCAGCAGCAGAAGACAAAACAGATGTGTCCTCTGTTTGGGACTGGATCGCCTCGGTCTGGATGGAGTCTTCAGCAATAGCACATGCTCGGTCCTGTTGTGACTTGTCGACCTCTTCAGTCTCGGTCTCTTGAGTTGTGCTGACATCGTGGGGAACATCACTAACCGTTACCTCCTCACTTACAGACTGTGTGAGTACTGGTGACTGTTCCTGGTCCCTCAGAAGTTCTGCCTGATCAACACCATCAGTAGCAGTGTCTTCAGGGGACTCCACAAACACAAACTCCTCTGGAGGTGTCTGAACCTCGTCCTCAGTGTCATCCAGAAAAACCTCTGCTGCTTCATCTTGAGCAGCAGAAGAAGAAAAAACAGATGTCTCCTCTGTTGGGGACTGGGTCTCCTCTGTCTGCATGGAGTCGTCTTGAGCTACAGAACATTCCTGGTCCTGTTGTGTCTCATCAACCTCGGGGACCTCCTCAAGAACATCAGTCTCTATCTGCTGAGATGTGATGTCTTCTTTGGGTCTTGGCTCTGGCTCCTTGACTACAAAGTTGTACCCAAACGAGTTGAGAACTTTTGAGGCCGCATTCCTTTTAGCGTTCTTCTTGTCCAAGCCGAGTCCCACCGCAGTCACGTCCGCCACCGTGACCTGGACGTAGAAGATCCAAGGATTCGACTGTTTGTCCACGTCCACAATCGTGTACTTTGGAGGAATCCCTTTCATGTTCACCACGATTATATCAAGACAAGATATGGGGTTATCATCGTCTTTGAAAGTGGGAAGTTCTCTCCAGCAGACGCCAGTGCGTTTCTTCTTCTTCTTCTCGTCAGACGGAAGAGGAAGACGTCGCAGCTCTGGGAGAACTTGTTGAGCACAAAGGTGTTTAGCTTCTGAAGCGGTGGGTCCTTTAGCGTCTGCACTAAAGTCACCGACCGTCAGACGATATGTGAAAATGGCGTTATGGATTGGTCCATCTTTCTGCACCATCCACAGCCTGATTTCCATACCATGCTTCTTAGCTAGCTCAAAGACCTCGCAGACCTCATCTTTGTAGCTGATGTCGATCTTTTGAGGCAAAAACATGGTGGATGCGTAATTACTTTCCATCTCTATAGAATATAGCGAACTCGAAAGGCTTATTGTGAGTAGTTTTGTATCAAACTGTATCTCGACCGTAAACCCGTCTCGAATCGGAGTAAATGGACTCTCTTCTGGGTTCATCTCCTGAACATCTTGGTCTGTGGTGTTATCAGGCAATGACATCACTATAGAATGTCATGATAGAAGGCAGTTACCATGGTAATTATGTTGCCATCGAGACGATGGAACTCATTCAGAATTCCAGAATCCCAGTGTGTTCTAAATGTTTAGTGAACCAAATTTACACCATTACTATAGTACTTTAACAGATATTAGTTTTAATTCTATAATTCAATATTGGAACGTTAAAGAGAATCAGGAAAATTACACACTTTTCTCCCGTACGTGTGTAAATATATTGATATTCTACTAAATATACAGTATTTTTTCAATTTACTTTCATCTTGATCAGTGATTTTGTTCAACAATCCCAAGACACAAATACTGTCAGTTCATGCTCACTATAGTACAGTTTTTCTCTATTGCTTAAACACATTTCACGATACTGCCCTCCCTTTTCTCAAAACTCTAAACACAAACCTCTTTTCTAAAGCTACATACACTCAACAACACAGTCTCTTTACAAAACCAACCCATCACACCAAAACAGTTTCTCATATTCTCAAAACCAACCCATCACACCAAAACAGCTTCTCATATTCTCAAAACCAACACATCACACCAAAATGCCTCTCATGGTCTGCAAAAATGTGAACACTATTAGCATCATTAACCACATCACCAAAACAATTGAAAACACAATTTTCAGAATGTGAGACTGTTCTTTTTTTACAGTTTCACAACTGCCAGGATGCATTTGAGCAACACTTTTTTATTCTCATATATGTTTTGGGCATTTACTATAGATTTGCGCGTATCATGGGAATAGTTACATAATGCAGAAAATGCAGTTATATCAAAACTCAATGCAAACATGGGCACTGTAAATATAGAGGTTCCATTAGACACAATAGTCATGACGTGGTCAATGACTGTTGCTCTTAGTTCATCTGTAATGGAAATGCGTTGTCTTGCCCGCCCTCCTTCTCTCCCTCCTCGGCCTGCTCCTCTCCCTCCTCGGCCTGCTCCTCTCTCGCCTCTGCCTGCTCCTCTCCCTCCTCGGCCTGCTCCTCTCTCTCTGCCTGCTCCTCTCCCTCCTCGGCCTGCTCCTCTCCCTCCTCGGCCTGCTCCTCTCTCTCCTCGGCCTGCTCCTCGCTCTCCTCGGCCTGCTCCTCTCCCTCCTCGGCCTGCTCCTCTCCCTCCTCGGCCTGCTTCTCTCCCTCCTCGGCCTTCTCCTCTCTCTCCTCTGCCTGCTCCTCTCCCTCCTCGGCCTGCTTCTCTCCCTCCTCGGCCTGCTCCTCTCTCGCCTCTGCCTGCTCCTCTCCCTCCTCGGCCTGCTCCTCTCCCTCCTCAACCTGCTCCTCTCTCTCCTCGGCCTGCTCCTCTCTCTCCTCGGCCTGCTCCTCTCCCTCCTCGGCCTGCTCCTCTCCCTCCTCGGCCTGCTCCTCTCCCTCCTCGGCCTGCTCCTCTCCCTCCTCGGCCTGCTCCTCTCTCTCCTCTGCCTGCTCCTCTCCCTCCTCGGCCTGCTCCTCTCTCTCCTCGGCCTGCTCCTCTCTCTCCTCGGCCTGCTCCTCTCTCTCCTCTGCCTGCTCCTCTCCCTCCTCGGCCTGCTCCTCTCCCTCCTCGGCCTGCTCCTCTCTCGCCTCTGCCTGCTCCTCTCCCTCCCCGGCCTGCTCCTCTCTCTCTGCCTGCTCCTCTCCCTCCTCGGCCTGCTCCTCTCCCTCCTCGGCCTGCTCCTCTCTCTCCTCGGCCTTCTCCTCTCCCTCCTCGGCCTGCTCCTCTCCCTCCTTGGCCTGCTCCTCTCCCTCCCCGGCCTGCTCCTCTCTCTCTGCCTGCTCCTCTCCCTCCTCGGCCTGCTCCTCTCCCTCCTCGGCCTGCTCCTCTCTCTCCTCGGCCTGCTCCTCTCTCTCCTCGGCCTGCTCCTCTCTCTCCTCGGCCTGCTCCTCTCTCTCCTCGGCCTGCTCCTCTCCCTCCTTGGCCTGCTCGTCTCCCTCCTCTGCCTGCTCCTCTCCCTCCTCTGCCTGCTCCTCTCCCTCCTCGGCCTGCTCCTCTCTCTCTTCTGACGCGAACTCCTCTTCTTCTGCCTTGATTATCGATTTTTGTTTTGAACCTTCATCAAACTGCACTGACTTATAAAGGTGTGGTCACATCATTTGCAACAGGAGTTTTCAGCTCTGAGTGGTTGTGTTTACTGAATGACACCAGGTCTGTTCATTGTGTTCAGGTTTTGCTGACAGTGGGAGAAATTTTTCATCACATGAGCCTCACAATGATTATAGGAGCAGAGATACATGCAAAAAGTGTTTTAGCAAAGGAAAAATGTGTTTTAGCAAAAGAAAAATGTGTTTAGAGTTTTGAGAAAAAGGGCATGTGTTTTGTGAACAGTGTCTAAAGGAGAATTGTGTTTATGGTTGTGAGAAGTGGGGGGAAGTTTTAATAAATGTGTTTAGACGATTGGTCATTTGGTTTAGAGTACTGGGTTTTGTGTTGTAGCAATAGAGAAAAACTGTATTACTGCTTTGGATTGAACGTACTACAACAGACACACATGGTCACACTCTGCACATAGTGTTTGCCATTCCATTCAATTTTCTTCCGCTTTATCCATATCCGGGTCAGCAGTCTAAGCAGAGACGCCCAGACTGTCCGATCCACATTAACAAATAGTCTATATTGTTTCTACTAAATTACAGAGGGAGTTAGCCCACCGAGCCCACTGATTCCAACCATCCCTGTACAGACAAGACAGTATAACATTAAATCTGTGACACTGTATGGACTTGCAGTGGTCACACAGAGCTGTAGTTGGAGCAGGGGCAGAGGCGGTGTTGGTTTGGGCCGCAGCAGATCACAGTTGAGTTCTGAGTATTGTTGCTGACCATGTGCATCCCTTTATGACCACACTGTACCATCTTCTGATGCTCCTTCCAGCAGATTAAACACCTCGTCATAAAGCTCAAATCATCACAGACCGGGTTCTTGAACATGAAAATAAGTTCAGTGTTCACTAATGGCCTCCACAGTCACAGATCTCAATCCAATAGAGACACTTTGGGAACAGGAGCATCAAGGATGTGCAGCCGACAAATCTGCAGAAAACTGCATCAAATATGGACCAAACTCTCTGAGGAATGAGTCCAGTTGTTGGATCTATGCCACGAAGGATTAGGACAGTTTTGAAGGAAAAAGAGGGTCCAACCTAATAAAGTGGCCGGTGAGTGTATGTGTCCCTGGAGAGAGAGCCCAGAGAGAGACCAGAGGGAGACCAGAGGGAGACCAGAGGGAGACCAGAGAGACCAGAGAGAGACCAGAGAGAGACCAGAGAGAGATCAGAGAGAGATCAGAGAGAGACCCGAGAGAGACCAGAGAGAGATCATAGACCAGAGAGAGATCAGAGAGAGACCAGAGAGATCCAGAGAGAGAACAGAGAGACCAGAGAGAGACCAGAGAGATCAGAGAGAGAGAGCAGAGAGAGACCAGAGAGAGACCAAAGAGACCAGAGAGAGACCAGAGAGAGACCAAAGAGACCAGAGAGAGACCAGAGAGAGACCAGAGAGGGACCAGAGAGAGATCAGAGAGAGACCAGAGAGAGACCAGAGAGAGATCGGAGAGACAACCTGGAGCTGAGGACTAGTCCCCAGTCTGAAACCCCTGGACTGCAGTCGGCCTATAGAAAGACCCCAGTATGTTTTATCAAAGCATTGACAATAATCCTCTAGCAACACTTCTTTTGCATAAGCAATACTGTGGCAGACATTGAAGTAGAACTAACTTGGAGAGAAGAAAGACAGAACATATATGCGAGGATAGAAGCAGTGGATCTGAGAGTCAGTCAGAGGAAGCAGCTCCGCCATCGAGACTTTTCTCAATGACCACAAATCACAACAACAAGTCTACCTTGGATCTTTTTGAAGTCTTTGTACGAATGCTCCCTTTATACTGCCACTTTACAACAACACATCATATTTCCTCGCTCTCTAAAAATCTCTCTGTTCTCTCGGCTTTTTGTTGAGGAGAAGTCAGTGGTTTCAGAATGGGCCGGTGCCAGAAAAGGTAAATGGAATACGAAGAGAAGCACTAAACCATAAGTGGAACTATTTTTGTCTAGTATTTTACAATTGAATGGTGCAGCGGAAGCAAACGGCCCTCAGCACGAGACCCTGGAGAGATTGGTTTGTTTTTATTCAGATCCCCGATAGCTGCTAAAATACACAGTAGCTAGTCTTCCTGGTAGCTACAGCCTCAGTCCTGCCTCCCCAGTCCCCCTGGGTTTTGAAGAGTTGTTTTTTTGCCGACACAGGAGGGTCTTAGGCAGGGGTGTCCAAACTTTTCAGTAAGAGGGCCACTTTAGTTCACCAGACTAGTCCTGGGACTGACATCACGGACTGAAAAACTGTCTTGACTGGCATCGGGCTGTTCTGAGCTTTACGGTGATCTATAACAGAGCTGAAGTTGGCTGAATGACAAATGTCTACCATCTCACCAGTTACAGCGGCACCATTAACAGTCAAAAGCCACAGTATGTGCAAAATAAAGTCAGCAACATACTGAGCTTTAAAACAAGGTCTATATTGGCTGAGCTGAAGTTGGATGGATGACACAGTGAGCTTGTGTTTATGATCTCGAAGTCTACTTTGGGTTAGCAAGGCAGAGGGCCACATAAAATGACACTGAGGGCTGCATTTGGCCCCCGGGCCTGAGTTTGGATATTGACCAGATGCATCAACGTCATCCAGACGTTATGAGCTTACGGCGGAAGTATTGGAAACTAGCATTGCTGCGAGAGCAAAACGGACACAACTCTTAAAAACGGAGCTTCCTCTCTTAAATCGAGAAGTGGCTGCTTCAAGCAATGTTCGATTACGTTATAGGTGGAAGTAGGACATCAGGTCAGGGCTCACAAAGAGTGGTATTTGGAGAAGTGAAGGATCGCCTAACTGGATGTTGACCCGTACCTTCTCCCCCAGTCAATTTTATCGATTAAATAAAATGTCTATTTTTGCCCAAATTCACCCTACATGATCTTTATCATTATCTTTAACAATGCACCCCCTCACACTGGAGCAGATTTATATGTACATTTTGCTGGTAGCATTAGCAATAGTCCGCTTTTCTGTGGCTTTTCTGTCTACAGCCAAACATGATACGTACTGACGGAGAGGAAAATAGTGAAACACGCATTTGACTTAAAAGATAAAAATGTCAATGTTGCAGCGCACATACAGGACAGAGACACGTTTGACGTGTGTCATTGTCCTCCAAATAAATGGAAATAAAATAAATACAAACTTGTGATAGCTTTATCTTGTAAAAAGTGTTCACTGCATATTAGGGAGTACTTGGATGGGTCCCAGTCCTTTTGGTTGATTGCCGCTGGCCATCGTCGTCTTCTGTCTTCATGACGAGCAGGTATCAGATAAAAAAGCTTATGTCCTTGCCTGTTCGTATAATCAACCGCACTGCAAAATGCACAGTTTTGGCTGTAATGCGCTGAAACAGGTTGTTTTGGTCAGGTGTCCGTAGGCTCCAGTTAGACTTCTGCTGTCTGTCATGGAGAGTGGGCGTGGCCGTGACGTCACATGCAAGGGGTCAATACACTCGAGATTCAACAATATTTATGGACATTGGTCATCTGACCAATGTCCATAAATATTGTATGTGATTTTTTATCGTTGCATTTCTTGTGCTTGAGCTGTTTGATTCTCGGATCTGTGTTGGCCAATCAACAGCTTTGCAAAGTCGCCCGCAATAACTGCTGTTGTGATTTAGGGCGATACAAAATTAATTGAATTGTACATAGACTATGCCCAAAAACTCACCTGTCTCACAGCGCTATCAAATATATTGTAGTCCAGAGGAAAAAGAGAAGGCACGGCGGCTGAGTGGTTAGCAAGGAGGTCCTGGGTTCGAATCCCGGTTCGGAACAGGGCCTTTCTGAGTGCAGTTTGCATGTTCTCTCCGTGTCTGCTTAGGTTTTCCCTACCACTAAAAACATGAACAATGACAAAAGACTTGAAAGACAAATGCCCACAATTGTAAAGTGCTTTGTGACTGGTCTGTGAAAGGCACTATAGACATAAAGAAGACTGATTGACTTACTCATAAGAACGATCTGATGAAAGCTAAATGCTAATAATAAAATGCATAATACTTTGGTTATTTCTACTGTACATCGGGAGTGTTTTTTGTTTTGTTTTATTTATGTACTTGTCACACCGGGGACTTTGGTTTTTGTCCTTCAAACAATGTCAGTTCACAAAACGCAATCTTAGTGTCTTGCAAATTGCCCCAAAATCCTGCTTTTTCCACCAATCTTCCCTCTGGAACACAAAATAACTTCCCATTTCTCTCCTTTCCCACCGTGTTCCCTCGACACACAACAGTCTAACCAAACCAGGTCACCGCGAGCCGACCCGAGCCAACCCACAAAGCAAAATGACATTCACCTGCAATACCACAGCAGTATGACAGGGGGCAGCACTGGTACTTTTAACCATGATTTATTGATGTACTTGTCACACCGGGGACTTTTGCAGATGTTTTCCAATGTGGTTTTACTGCAAATTGCGAAGAAATGAATCTGAATCTGAAATTCTAAGTTTTGATAATTTTATAACATACTTTTTTTATTCAACTAGTCTTTAAATGTGTAAACAACCTCGCTCCCAATATCGCTGCAGGAATGATTGAGAAATGTGTAGCTCACAGGATGACCAGTAGGGGCGCTGCCAATAGAGACTGCAGAGCAACAAGATGTAAAACATCATTTGGACAGACTGCGTTTGCAGTGAAAGGGCCACAGCTTTGGAACACGTTACCTGCAGAACTGAAAGCCCTAACAGACTTGAAGGAGTTTAAAATTAAAGTCAAACTATGGCTCAAAAGGACCCAAACTTGTGAGCATAATGCAAGACTGTAATCATTTATTGTATTCTTTTTTTTGTTTTTTTTGTTTTTTTGTTGTTGTATTTTGTATTGTATTCTTGTTTATTATTTAGTATAACTTATTACTTATTTTTTTAATATAATGATGTATGTATAATGTAAATGTGATGTATTTCTAGGTTTTAGGGACCAGGTCTGCAAACTAGCTGTTAGCTATACGGCCTATGAACACAGCATCGGTTCCTGTAACAATGCTTCTTGTTCTGTCCCTATCAAATAAACAAATAATAATAATAAAATGTGAAATCACAAAACGCGATCTTAGCGATTTGCAAATTGCTCTAAAATCCTGCTTTTTTCCACCAATCTTCCCTCTGGAACACAAAATAACTTCCCATTTCTCTCCTTTCCCACCGTGTTCCCTCGACACACAACAGTCTAACCAAACCAGGTCACCCCGAGCCAACCCGGAACGTAGCAAGCAGATAAAGTGGACTCGCCGGCCCTTACAAGGATGGGCCTGATCTTCCGTAACTGTCCCGGACTTTGAAATCAAGGTCAGCAAGTTTTTGCCTGGACGCTCTGCTGAGAAAACAAATGGTGGTGGGATAAAAAAGCCGCTTTGCCCCCACAGCGAGGGGCTATTGCATCAGAAGGCTGTAATTTGGGCGACGTGTGCGAGGCTGGAGGATGACGGAGGACTGTGGCGTTATAAATCAGCCTGGCTTCAGTCGCAGAGAGGGCCGAGGCCGTGTTTACACTCACACAACAGATGAACTTCACTTTCAATTTCAAACACATTTATCAAAGAGTGACACCGGCGCAGACACACAGAGCAGGACTCACGCCGCGCTCCATGTTGTTGCTAATACCATTCGCCACTCTAAGAAATGGTCCACAACTTGTTTTTTTCCTCCCTGTGTTGTTTATCTATATTTAGACTCGCTGCTTTTCCAGGTACAGATCTGAGGTTTGGAGGTTTTTTTTACATTCTGCTTTGAAGAATGTATTCCGTATATTGTATCTCCTGTGTTCTCAGCTTGGGAAAAGGATTGTGTGATTGTGCTGTTACTGATAGGGGCACAGTGGCTGAGTGGTTAGCTCTTTGGCATCGCAACACAAGAAGGTCCACGTCCAGAGAGGGTCTTTCTGTGTGGGGTCTGCATATGAACCAGTTTGGACTCTGAGGAGCACAGGGACCAGCCTCCTGCTGGAGCACAGGGACCGGCCTCCTGCTGGGACTCTGAGGAGCACAGGGACTGGCCATAGTCTGGTCTATAGTCTGTTCCATAGTCTTGTCCATCGTTTGGTCTATAGTCTGGTTCATAGTCTGGTCTATAGTCTGGTTCATAGTCTGGTCTATAGTCTGGTTCATAGTCTGGTCTATAGTCTGGTCCATAGTCTGGTCTATCTGGTTCATAGTCTGGTCCAGAGTCTGGTCTATAGTCTGGTCTATAGTCTGGTCTACAGTCTGGTCTAGTCTGGTCTACAGTCTGGTCTACAGTCTGGTCTACAGTCTGGTCTATAGTCTGCTCTATAGTCTGGTCTACAGTCTGGTCTATAGTCTGGTCTATAGTCTGGTCTACAGTCTGGTCTACAGTCTGGTCTACAGTCTGGTCTATAGTCTGGTCTATAGTCTGGTCAATAGTCGGGTCTAGTCTGGTCTATAGTCTGGTCCATAGTCTTCTCTATAGTCTGGTCCATAGTATTCTCTATAGTCTGGTCCATAGTCTTCTCTATAGTCTGGTCCATAGTCTTCTCTATAGTCTGGTCTATAGTCTGGTCCATAGTATTCTCTATAGTCTGGTCCATAGTCTTCTCTATAGTCTGGTCCATAGTCTTCTCTATAGTCTGGTCTATAGTCTGGTCCATAGTATTCTCTATAGTCTGGTCCATAGTCTTCTCTATAGTCTGGTCTATAGTCTGGTCCATAGTCTTCTCTATAGTCTGGTCCATAGTCTTCTCTATAGTCTGGTCTATAGTCTGGTCCATAGTATTCTCTATAGTCTGGTCCATAGTCTTCTCTATAGTCTGGTCTATAGTCTGGTCTATAGTCTTCTCTATAGTCTGGTCCATAGTCTTCTCTACAGTCTGGTCTATAGTCTGGTCCATAGTATTCTCTATAGTCTGGTCCATAGTCTTCTCTATAGTCTGGTCTATAGTCTGCTCTATAGTCTGGTCCATAGTCTTCTCTACAGTCGATTATTGGCCTTGTGAATGTAAAAATACCTGATGTATTTATCATGGATCATCTATTTGCTTTGCCATCAGTTAGAAAACAAAAACATCTACACAGCCACAGAAACTGAATCTAAACATACTCAGTTGTACATTGAATCAAACTCATCTTCGCTAATTCTAAAGGACAATGATTCGCTGATTTGTCGCTGCTGAAGTGGATCTTGAACCTGGAACCTTCTGCTCCTGTCTCTGTGAATGTGCAGAGAGTGAGTCACGGCTTTGTCTCGGAACAGAATGTGCACCTTATTGGTTTGGCTCCGACTGCCTCCTATTATTGTCCCACAGCCGCAGATCTCATTAACGCCCAAACGTTCTTCTGGGAAATACCTGGGTTCTATTGTTCCAGCCGAAAATAGCAAAACATAAGCTAGCTCTGTCAAATATTAGCACAACGCTACATATGCACTGTTTGCCTGTTTGTCTTCGGAGAATGTGTGTGTTTTGGGGAAATACACTAAAATATCAAAATTTTCAAGTACAGCTAGTGTTGTATTTATAAATACGTGACACACTAAAACCATGTGTTTTATGACCTATCGAACTCTGGGTGGGAGGCCAGGCCTTTTTATATATCAGAGGTGTCTTCTTGTGGGATCAACTAAACAACAGATGGTTTCTGCTGTTTGGATTTCACCCCCTAGTCTTGGCTCCTGCTGACTTCTGCACTCTTCACCTCACTCCATCAGGAGTGGGTTGACATGACTGGAGTCTTCTAGTCTACTTATTTGTCATATGATAATACACATAACCTTTCTTAACATATATTTACTTCATATTTTAGGTGATTTCATGTACTTAGATATTAGGTTAATTAGTGTGATGTGTTTTGTACTGCAATAGGTTTGTTCTTTAGGAAAGCGGGCTGTTGAGACTAATTAGGGGAGTTGTTTAGACAAGAGATGGATCCCAGACCAGTGACAGCTGCCTGGAGCCTTAGGTTAGGAAGCATGAATTCTTTTTAGGTGGGGAATGGAGACGAGGAGACCACATGGTGCGGAGGCGGATCACAGGACCGGAAGCTGCCTGATACGTGTCGCCCCCTTCTTCCTGGACATCTCCTGATATGCTCTGGCTTGAGGCGGGGGCAGTAGATAAATAGGGCACCGCTATTGAGCAAGTGGTGAAAAGGTGGTACTGCACCTGAACTCCTAGGAGCGCTATTGAGCAAGTGGTGAAAGGTGTTACTGCACTGTATTTTCCAAGAGGTGTCACTTTGAATGTTTAATGAGTTGCCCTCTGTTGACCCCAGTGTGTGTGTGTGCTTCACAGTTGTCTAAAGTGATTTATTGAACAGAGCTTAGCGTAACACCTGCGTAGGGTTACACCATGTTTATTCTAAAACAAACAGTGATGCCCTGGTTAGGGAAGACGTGGTAATAGCTAATCAAGCTGCAGGGGAGGACCTGCCCCAGACCTATCAACCTACAGCAAACAGTGTAAGCGAATCATGATGAAGGGGTGGGAGGATGGACCAGCCATGGCCAATCCGTGCAATGTTAAAGGGAGGGTGTTATAACAACCAATCAGAGCGGGTGGTGGGAGGTCTGTTTACAACATCCTATCAGAGTGATGAGGGTTTGTGATAGGTTGCTCTGCTTTAAGGTGGGAGCTATATAGGCCTGTGATTACACACACTAGAATAACTTTTTTTTTCTCCACCCTTCACAACAATGGCTACTCCTCAAAGATCTCAGACACCTGCCCTGAAGTCATCGAAAAGGGGCTCTCTCACAAGGAAAGCTCTTAAGCGTAAACCGTACACCGTCACGAGGCAAGGGAGAAGTGAAGCATCGTATACAATTACGTACACCGCAGGGTATGTCATTTTTGGGGAGGAAAGCATGTCTATAGCGAGCTGGTTTCATTTTAGGACCCACTGCAACGCTGTAAATTCGGCAATGGTTAAAAATGTAGAGTATAGACATTTTTGGAGAGAGGCTAATAAAGGGGATTATGAGCTAGTGGTTACGAACGACCCAGTAGACTTAGAAAACAAGGGTCTTGTGCAAATTAAATTACATAATCACGCTGATTGTGTTAGATCGGGAGCCTTACCGCCAAAACTGGTGAATATTGTTTCTATACAGTACAGAGACTGGCGTGAAGTATCTAGAGTATTTAGCAAAATTGATAAAGCTATTCAAAAAGATTATTTCTACATGGAGTTGGAAACGGTCAAAAAGCGACTACGATACCTTGAAACGGAGACTGAAACAGCTAATATGTGGTTCTCTCTGAATACAACAACAAGAGATTATGGTAAGTATTACTAACGTATTTATTGTATTTTTCTATACAGAGTAATAATGTTTATATTCCACCAGGAGGGCTACCAATGGAGGAATCAAGTGGCGAGGCGTCCCCTGAGGGTGGTGAATCAAACGATGAAAACACACCGTCAACAGGTACGGTTATTTAAAGATATTCAGTGTATATTTTTATTAATACCCCTGTATGTTCTTTAAAAGATGGAGGTGAAACCGATGCGACTGATGAGGAATTGGAAATCTCACTCCTCCCTGTACCACACTCCCCGGTCCCTGGTGATGACAATGCTATAGCTTATGGTGTGTATATGTGATTATTATTTTACCACTATGTTGTTACTAACAGAATGTTGTTTTTTGTGTTTTTTTAGTGACCCCACAGAGTGCGGAGAAGGAGCCAGAATCCCCTGCGGGGTTCACAGATGAATCTGAGCATTTCATAAGGAATCTGCGGAAGATCCTTCTACACCTGATCGAGGCCCAGCTGGTCAAGAGCTGGAAGGCAGAGTGTTATGGTTGTGAGGTCGACCACCCGAGTCAGATTCAACACAGCTGTCTCGAGAGATACCCCGAATACTTTTTTCATACTCTGGGTGAAAAACGGCTTCCTGAATTGTGGAACGCACGTTTCATACCTGCTGTGGAAGCTTATCTCGCAACACAAGGCCTTGTGCTACCAAGGCAACAGGTGATAGGGGCAGTCGAAGCGCTATTGTATGTGTTCACGCAAGAAGACGATTTGAATGCTGTAATACAAGATATGACGGATTCACTAATTGACGAGAAAAGTTTTCTTGATGAGGCACTGGATGTGTGGGTGGGGAACAATTCATGATTCTTTTTTCTTGATGAGGCACTGGATGAGTGTGTGTGTTGATTCTTTTAAATCTAATAAAACATCTTTTATAACGTCATTGTCTCAAAGTTCTTCAACATGGAAGGTACTCTTAGTAAAATATACAATAACCCGAAGCATCCCGGGGGTCTAGGTGGTTTTAATAAGCTGTACAATGTTGTTAATGAATTGCAAGGGATTAATATTACAAGGCCTGAAGTCAAAAACTTCTTGCTCAAACAAGACGTTTATACACTCCATACATCGCCTAGGATACATTTTCCAACCAACAGAGTATTAGTAAATGGTGTAAACAACCAATTTCAGGCTGATTTAGTGGACATGTCTGAATATGCTAATGAAAACGATAATGTTCGCTATTTACTAACATGTATAGATGTATTTTCAAAATATGCGTGGGTGAAATGTCTCAAAACCAAAAAAGGTCCAGAGGTGTCAGAAGTGTTTAAACAAATTCTAAGTGAAGGACGGATCCCTCGAAAACTGCAAACAGATCATGGAACAGAATTTTATAATAAGCATTTCCAGAACGTGTTGAGTGCCTATCAAATTAAACATTTTTCCACGGGGAATGAAACAAAGGCCAGCGTGGTTGAGCGATTCAACCGCACTTTTAAGACCCGGATGTGGAGGTATTTAACATCTGTAAACTCGAGACGTTACATAGACGTGTTGGAACAACTAGTGCATGGTTATAATCATGCATACCATCGTAGTATCAAGATGAAACCGGCGTGTGTGGATAAAGATAATGAGGCACAGGTTTTTAAGGCATTATACAAGAAGAATCCGACAAAGCAACTAGTCTTTAAATATGCACTAGGTGACACAGTGTGAATATCTAAAAAGAAAGGGATTTTTCGTAAAGGATATGAGCAGAGCTTTACAGACGAATATTTCATAATAGCGGAACGCATAGGCCGAACACCACCTGTCTATAGATTAAAGGATCTATCAGAGGAGTTATTACAAGGGACTTTTTATGAATCAGAACTCCAACGTGTCATTATCGATCATAACAGAGTTTTTAAAATTCAAGATATTTTAAAAACAAAGCGTGTGGGCAAAACTAAACAGCCTTTTGTTAGCTGGATCGGCTGGCCTAAGCAGTTTAACTCTTGGATAGATGCTAAAGAGGTTGTAAACATTGCAAGAAGAACCAATGAATCATAATGATGGATTTTATGTCACCCTCGCAAGCAACGCTTCTATGGAGGTTTACCCAAATAACAAAATATGGAAATTTAGAAACAAACTTGCTCGACCGCTCTTATTAACAGAGCCCTATGAAGTAGGTTTAATTGAAGTTCAATATCCTAGAATTTGGAAATCTTTCGATGAAAGAGCAGCAAAAATCACCATCATCACACCTAAAGGAAAGTCAGGCGCTGTAGAGATTACAGTAGGGTTTTACGAATCCGTGCATAGAATACTGAAGGGAATTATTTATGCTTTATCAACTAACGCGCTAACGGGGAATATTCACTTACAATACAACAACATTACCAACAAAATTACTATACATGAAGCAGCAGGACACACGTTGACATTTTACGGGTCATTAGCTATTATCTTGGGTTTTGAAAATCAGGGGAGTGTGTTCATACCCACTCAACAGATTAAACCGTTCGCAGCACCACACCCAGCCGACATTTACGCCGGATGTTATAATATCTTTATATACACCGATATAGTGGACTATCAGCTGGTGGGTGACAGCCACGCCCCTATACTAAGAGTGATAAACATTACAAATCAAAATGCGTCATATCCAACGGTAACCTATGATAAGCCTCATTACACTCCCGTGTCTAAATCAG